GAACAAACAAATAATCTCCAAGAGTTACGAAGACATATAAATCCATTGACATACTGCAGGTTCAGCAAACCAATACTGAGACCACAGGCATCAAAGATCAGGTAGTTTTATGTCACCCAAGAAGAAGTATCGACCATGCCCTTGAGAGAGAGAAGAGACAACTTCTTTGCAACCAGGAACGATGATCACAATGCTGTGCCACTCCTAGCTGGACTGGGAATTATGTAGAAGGAAATGTTAAATGCCTAACTGGACAAATTGCACAGTTTTTATCAATTGTTTATTTAATATTGATGTATATTGCTTAAACAAACATGCTAGACAAGTAGGAAGTTACCGTTTTGGGAATACCAAACAAGATGTTAGCCATAAAAAGCTTGTTACAGATATTAATTGTTATTTTATGATTCACAATATCAAGACCAACTGACGAGGAGGGGGGGGGGGGATTAAGGGGAAAGCGCAGAAGTCGCATAACGGCTAAGAATCACAAGACAGATAAACGCAGATGCGAACCTGCAATCTCTTGATTTCTAGTCCTTCACGCTACCACCTGTGTTGCACAGTGGCATATTAACTATCAACAAAAAATGCGAATTTTCCCTGCACACCCATGATGATTTTGTTTTCAACATCACTTATCTCATCTGGTGATAATTCTCCTTCAACTTTATCATCTTTTGATGCTATGCAATTGTGAAGGAACCTGTAAACCCAGGCATTCACTCGTGTGAGTCTTCTCCACGAGGAGAATCTGGACGGTTCTAGTCGCCATGACTCACAGGGCACCGGAAGAAAACCTGCAGATTGAATTCTATTTCTGTTCACCTCTATTTGCTCATCTACCTTGATAGATTTCAGCTTAGTTTCTGGTCATTCAGTTTCATCTCTTACTAAATAAGAGGGACCTGACCGACACAATGAACTAGCTACCAACTGTTGAACTGTTGCTCCTCGACTAATCAAGTCAACAGGATTTGCTTCTGTAGGAGTATGTCTCCACTGTGAAGAACTTGTAACATCCTGGATTTCACCTACCCTCTCGGCCACGAAAGGTTTGACAATTCTGCTGTTATTTCTAATCCAGTATAACACGTTCATGTTGTCTGACCAGAATATCATCTGTTTCAAGTCAACATCAAGTGCTTCCGTGACATAGTCGGTCTACACTGGCTATCTATTCCAGGATCCGACATAGTTTGTCTACACTGGCTATCTATTCCAGTTTCCGACGTAGCTGCTCTACACTGGCTATCTATTCCAGTTTCCGACATAGTTGGTCTACACTGGCTATCTATTCCAGTTTCCGACATAGTTGGTCTACACTGGCTATCTATTCCAGGATCCGACATAGTTGGTCTACACTGGCTATCTATTCCAGTTTCCAACAAAGTTGGTCTACACTGGCTATCTATTCCAGTTTCCGACATAGTTGGTCTACACTGGATATCTATTCTAGTTTCCGACATAGTTGATCTACACTGGCTATCTATTCCAGTTTTCGACATAGTTGGTCTACACTGGCTATCTATTCCAGTTTCCGACATAGTTGGTCTACACTGGCTATCTATTCCAGGATCCGACATAGTTGGTCTACACTGGCTATCTATTCCAGTTTCCAACAAAGTTGGTCTACACTGGCTATCTATTCCAGTTTCCGACATAGTTGGTCTACACTGGATATCTATTCTAGTTTCCGACATAGTTGATCTACACTGGCTATCTATTCCAGTTTCCGACATAGTTGGTCTACACTGGCTATCTATTCCAGTTTCCGACATAGTTGGTCTACACTGGCTATCTATTCCAGTTTCCGACATAGTTGGTCTACACTGGATATCTATTCTAGTTTCCGACATAGTTGATCTACACTGGCTATCTATTCCAGTTTTCGACATAGTTGGTCTACACTGGCTATCTATTCCAGTTTCCGACCTAGCTGCTCTACACTGGATATCTAATCCAGGATCTGACATAGTTGATCTACACTGGCTATCTATTCCAGTTTTTGACATAGTTGGTCTACACTGGCTATCTATTCCAGTTTCCGACCTAGCTGCTCTACACTGGATATCTAATCCAGGATCTGACATAGTTGATCTACACTGGCTATCTATTCCAGTTTTCGACATAGTTGGTCTACACTGGCTATAGCTATCTATTCCAGTTTCCGACAAATTTGGTCTACACCGGCTATCTATTCCAGTTTCCGACATAGCTGCTCTACACTGGATATCTATTCCAGTTTCTGACATACGAGTAGTTAGTCTACATCATCTATCTATTCCAGTATCTGACAGAGTTGGTCTAAGCTGTCTATCTAATATCTAAGTACAATTCTAATAAAGCTTTTGGTTCAAATGGAAATGTAACAGAAAACCACGCTCTGCTACCGTTGTTGTGCAGTTGAATATTAACTTTTAACAAAAATGCGAATTTCCTCACTGTTGCTGGGAACTAAACGTGACTATTTTGATATGATGAAACAATTCAGATAATGTATTCGGGGAACTAAACGTGAATCGCTTCTTAAAAAAGATGCCATGACATACTTTTCCCTTTTCTCCGCGAAGCAAGATGCGTTCTATCTATCTGTTCAAGCTGAACATGTCTTCAAACCAACCTGTGCTCCAGAGACTGTTGTCGTCACTGTGTTGCTTGCCACCATTAACCGGGCTTGGTTTACTTATACACTTTTATTTTGACATTGTACCACGTTCGCTGTAAGTCCTGGTGGTATATGTGTCATGCAAGTGTCTGTGAATCTGATTTCCACATCTAATTTCATTTTTTGCCTAATGATATGCACTTTTTAAAAACATGTTTGAACGTGTTTACATTCTAAACATGTGTTTACGTGGTGGCCAGGCTGTAAGGCCAAATGTACATTCCGTTTTGCATTTAAACACATTCCTAAACATGTTTAGATCTGAACATGTCTTGTATGTGTTTACATCCTAAACACATATTTTATAGTGTGAGTACACATATGTGAGTGGCTGCTCGTACTAGTCCGGACTAATGCCAGTTTTATAGTGCTAGCCTACAGAGATACCATGCCACAGTTTAACATGAATGCCCTTGCATACTGACTCTGAGCAGACCAGTTCTTCTTTTATCCCCTTAATGACGAGCGCTAGGCAGGGTAACAACAAGTACATGTGTCAACGTATTTTGGTATGAGAGGGACCAAACCATCGACATTCTTCCGGACAGACGCTCTTTCCACTACAACACGACGTATTAGGAATGAACACTTTGTATTTAGCTCTCCAAAGCTCGCAAAATACAATGTGTATTCTAAATTTAGGATACAAACAATCCCAAAACACAATCGCGTGATAACCTTTTTTACATTAAACAAATGACACAGCACGTGAAACTACGAAACATTAACCCAAAAGCGGTTCTCTTAAATTTTCAATTCTCTAGCATCTCGAGAAGCACCAATTTTTAAACTGCCCCAGGATATTTACCATCTCAAAAGACACTCGCATGACTACTTCGTGATATTTGCTCCAATTTAGTGAAACGTAAGCAGTGATTTATATCCTCACACATAAAATGTTTCAAATTTAAGTACAAGTTACTTGCAGATTACTCGTTTCCTATAAGTGCTTGATACTGAATTGGGTTGAAATCAAAGTGAATCAATACACATAACTTACATACACATACAGACCAGCGTTTGACGACATAAAACAGCATCCAACTATACAAGTTGAATACAATAGTCTATCCTTACACAGACATCAGTACAAAGACAAACATGATACACTCTAAGTATACAAGTACAACACAATACCTAGGCCTTGGTCTCTCTTTACTGCTGCTGCATCTACTTTCTTTACTTGTGACTTCATCGTGATATCTGTCACATGTGCATCAATGTCATGGAGAAACTTCAAAATTATTTTTTTAAGACTTGGATATCCACGCAGCATATCACTGGCTGTATCCTCTGTATCATGTCCGAAGACAAACATCCACTGGTCGATCTGTATGCTGGCCAGGCGTCCATGAGTTGCAAACTGCTCCTTCAACGCAGATAACTGTTTCGGGAATTCTGAGTTGAAATAGGGGGAGTATTTGCCGGGTATAAGTGTACAGATCCAGGTTATTTCATGACACCACGAGGAGGTGTCATGGAAAGTAACCCTCAGCACATGTCCTCCGTCTTGTGCCAAGTACAGCGTAACTGTGAAAACACATTAAGAAGGAAAAGTCAGTTTAACTCTCAGGATGAAGTTTATATCTACTCATTGAAAACAATGTGCTTCATATAAAGTGGTGTAAATGTTATGTTTTTGAAAATAGCAACATAATATTTGATCATTTGTCTGATCAATGTTTTATCATAATTCATTGATAAAACCCACATCTGGTAAGAAGAAGAAGAGTGACAAGCCCTAACAAAGGGGTGGTGAAAAAACTCCTGTCATAGACAACATCTCATCCCCCCAGGATGTTGTGGTCCCTCAACTTCTTGCATACGGCTCTGCCATAATTTGTCAAAACCTAGGAATTGTCCAAGCTGTTAATGTTCCTGTTTAGTATAAATTCTTTTGATGCATCCACCGAAAATGATTGCTTGTTGACGTGACGTCACACGTGGACAACCGGTCCGTGGCAAGCCATGAGTGTTTCCTTGCTGTACATAACGTCTCCACAAAGATGATATCGTGTTTTGATGAACATTGGAATGTTTGGCAACTTCGTTTTTTCGTAATTCCTGTTTGCAGCCAGCCCAAGGTGCGTAGATATTCATTTTCAGTAAACTGTTGCATTGTATAAGCGGTGAAACAAAAGTATTGATATGAGCACCGAAAAGTTACACAATCACTGTGTGCTGTTAACTTTCAACCTTGTGTGTAAGTGTCATGCTCACTCACTCACTCAAGCAGACTATGGAACAGTAACCAACTTCCGGGCATCCAAGGTCAACGACAAGAGTATAGGGTCAATTGATCCGAAATCATGATATACTATATCTATCTCAAACGGCGAATCAAATTGCTGCAAACTTGCATCAGGCTGCTAGATTACAAGTCTTGGGTCAGGTGATTAGAAATCGTCTACATGCAGCTCATCTCTATGCTCGACGGCTCGCCACTTAAGACGAGGACCTACCCCTCTGCTACCAAGCGTAGAACTGAGTGCCTCAGAACGTTACAAGTTTTTGTAGGATTGGACCCAAAATTCGGCGATGGGGGTCGCTATAGGATCCCATAGAGCGCTAATTGAGCGCCAGTGGATCTCCACAGGTCGCCGAGATCGCTCTCGGATCGGAGTAGAGCGCATTAGGGTAAGTGAGTGAGTGAGTGAGTATGGTTTTACGCCGCTTTTAGCAATATTCCAGCAATATCACGGCGGGGGACACCAGAAATGGGCTTCACACATTGTACCCATGTCGGGAATCGAACCCGGGTCTTCGCCGTGACTAGCGAACGCTTTAACCACTAGGCTACCCGACCGCCCAGAGCGCATTAGATCGCAATGACAGAGAGCCACTGGATCTGATCGTGAAAGATAGCAACATTTTGGGTTTTGGGTTATGATCAAGGGTCTTCAAGTCGCTATCTCATCACATAGATTTCTATTGGATCGCAACATGAGCGCTATCTGATCGTAATCAGATCGCAAGTGCCCTAAGATAGCCGAAAAGTGAGGAAACCTAAGGCGCTCCCTCAGAGCGTGTAGAGCGCAGAAGAGCGTCGCCTGGTGGAATGGGGGTATTACACATCGATATAGTGCTAACAGGCGTCAATGGTGTACACACCGTCGCAACATGGGTAATGATCGCTGGCAATGTGCCATGTTTTTCAATGAGTCACGATTGGCTTTGAACTTCCTTGACAGGAAGTGAACATCGAAGTGAACGTAAGTCAATGTTAACCTGCGACCTAGCATCACTACGACTGACCCCATCCCAATACATATTGTGCAAGGAATGGCCACCAAACAGTACCATGGGGACAACATACTGACAGCCTTTGTTGTCCCGGCCGCAAGGCATGTGAGTCAACGTTTTTTCTTTCAAAATTTTAAGTTATTCCCGAGTATCCCCTACTTTTTTAAAGGGTCTTAGACCATCAGTCACGCATTTTGAATTATGGGGTATCAATTTCTTTTATTTATATATGATACATCATTGCCAATGAGGTTTTAATGAAACCTGTTCCATAGATAAATGAGACTGAATATGCCCCTGCGTTGACGTTGTATATTATACTGAACACAGTGTTAGTAAACATCCTTCCATCAAGGACAGGCCTGGGAAACATAAAAGGTGAAGTGAAAGTAGCTCACGTTTATTATCTGGGAAATTTGCTTCGAAAGCGCCATCTTCTACAACAAAAACAAAATGCACGATATTCATTACATAAATGCGACACAACCCTTTCAATATTCATAAGAAATCTCGTTGACTCTACGAGCCTGACTATTTCATGAGCATGCGTTTATGACTATCAAACAGTGATAATACCAGGTGTCCGCGAGAAGGTGACCGTATCCTGCTCCAACGGGGGCAGTCATCACAAACACATGCAAAGGGCAAGTGAACTGTTCACTTGAAAAAAACACACGCATTGCATCAGACATAACTTTTGTCACAGATGCGTCAAGTTTGGATATTGTCCTAACATATCTGCCATGAACGTTTTAATAGCTTTATTGTGGCCTTGAATGATGTAACCTTGATCAAACAACTTTAAGTGAAAGTCGTAGACGCTCTTTGAAATCTTGGTAGAAAGAGTGTTCCAGTGTAACTTAAAAGGCTGGAGCTGATGGAATGCTGCTCGACATATGTGGAAATTGACTATTGGAAAGTTGAAATCATCCCTCTTATCAAACAATCTTTTTTGAGATGATAGTGAATAATCTTTTTATGAGTGTGCATGTTGGCTTAAGTAAGGCAAAAAATTATGGTTGACAAGTATGCATACTGGCTTCACCCTTTTGTTTGTACTACTGACCTCGCTGGTCAACATGTTTACAACCCTTTTGAGTACATAGCTGACTTCTCCACTCCAGTGTAACTACATCTGGTATCTACTCTCCTGTGTTAACATTGCCTCCTACATGTACATATACTTGTCAACCATACTGGATACACCACTTGCTTGATAACAGTGTTAGAACCTACACTAAAACGTCGCTCCGAAATGTAATAAAGAAATTGTTCATCCATAAATATTTTCCTTACCTACTTCTCTCAAACTTCCAAATGCCTCTCAAAGAAATGTTGGCGTAAGATGAAAACAACAAGCAGTAACATGAAGTCAACGTTTTGTATATTGTAAGAATATTTATGACTAGATAAAATGTAATCTAAAACTGAAATGTCTGGGAATATCTGACCAGTAATACATTTTGCTAAAGCTAATGTAATTTGACCAATAGATTTGTTAACACTATACAAACGGACAAATTAAAAAAACTGTTAACCTTCAGTCGTTGACGCCATAATCCCTGATTTGCCTGTTTTTTTCTGCTTTCCTGTAAAATATAAAACACATGCTCAGTCACGCAAACAAAACAGCATGTGTGATTAAATGCAGTATGTTTACACAAGTAAGATAATTACATCCACACTATTTGTTACTTGTTATTTGTTTAACGCTTCTCCCGAAATGTAAGGTGGCTGACAAATTTACAATTTCTCCACAGTTAGTTATATTTCCTATTTACCGGGTGAGTGAGTTTCGCTTATATAAGTAATTTACTGACTAGAAAGGCTGAAGTGACATAGATCTGAATTGCAAAAGCGAGTGTAAATGTTTGGTACCTGACGAGCAAAAGGGAGCTAGAAAAAACAGAACATATTCAAGAGTTTCATAAAGTGATTTTAGTATTCATACTTCCCCGTGTTCAAGTCAGGTCACGCAAATACATAGGGTACGAATAGCGTATGAAAACTCTTTAAATAAGAATCGCAAACGGATATGCAAAATTAGCGGACCAAGAGGGGCAAAATGAAGACGTTTCATGTGTCAGTGACAAATTTCCCGGAACAAAATGATCGCAAAAAGGACATGCAAACCATCAGTCGGGAAACATGTACGATTCGGAAAAAAAAGCTTCCAGCGCAGGGTCAAGGAGCTGCACGTACTGCATGTCTAGCAGCACCATGGACAGTATTAAAGTGCAGGGCTTTTGAGTGCATGGCATCTGCGTCAATCGAACAGTGACAGTCAATCGAACCGATCAGCTGGTTTTCAATGTAGCACCAAGCACCATCACAAGGCAATGGGATCGGTTTCAACAGCATTGGTCAACACATGATCGGCCAAGGTCGGGACGACCAAGAGTAACCAGCCCCGCCCAAGATCGCTACATCCGACTGTGCCACCTACGCGAAAGGACGACCACAGCCACTTCAACCGCATCCCAAATACCCGGACTGTGCAGACCGTACGAAACTGTTGAAGAGCAGCAGGTTTACAGCAACACGTCCTATTGGACGCATTATATTGAGTCGACATCATCGTCCAACAATGTCCGCATTGGTGTCGTCAACACAGGGTCTGGCCTCAACTGCGATTGAGAGATGTCTGGTTCAGCAATGAATCAAGATTTCTCCTCCGTCGAGGGGATGGACGAGCACAGATCTACAGACGTCAGGTAGAACGTTATGCTGGAAACTGTGTACGTGAAGTTGACAGGTTTGGTGAGGGTAGCTTTATCTCGTATCATCCATATCCACGGCAAACTTACGGCTAAACGACACATCAACGGAATTGTCCTGCCACACGTCCTCCCAACTGCAGCCAACGGCAACGGTGTATTCCAGCAGGACAACGCTGGACCGCATACAGCCAGGAGCGCAAGAGCCTGTCACTCTTCAGCAACACATTACACAGTTACACTGCCAATGTATATAACCTATATACCTTACTCAGGGGAGGTAACTCACGTCATTCTTCAGCAACACACCACACTGTTATACTGCCACTGTATATAACCTACATACCTTATGTAGGGAAGGTAACTCTTGTCAGTCTACAGCAACACACTACACTGTTACACTGCCACTGTATATAACCTCCATACCTTACACAGGGGAGGTAACTCATGTGAATCTACAGCAACACACTACACTGTTACACTGCCACTGTATATAACCTCCATACCTTACACAGGGGAGGTAACTCATGTGACTCTACATCGACACACTACACTGTTACACTGCCACTGGATATAACCTACATATCTGACGTAGGGGAGGTAACTCATGTCAGTCTACAGCAACACACTACACTGTTACACTGCCATGTTATATAACCCACAAACCTTACTCAGGGGAGGTAACTCACGTCATTCTACAGCAACACACTACACTGTTACACTGCCACTGTATATAACCTCCATACCTTACACAGGGGAGGTAACTTATGTGACTCTACAGCAACACACTACACTGTTACACTGCCACTGGATATAACCTACATATCTGACGTAGGGGAGGTAACTCATGTCAGTCTACAACAACACACTACACTGTTACACTGCCATGTTATATAACCCACATACCTTACTCAGGGGAGGTAACTCACGTCATTCTACAGCAACACACTACACTGTTACACTGCCACTGTATATAACCTACATACCTTACGTAGGGGAGGTAACTCATGTCACTCTACAGCAACACACTACACTGTTACACCGTCACTGTATATAACCTACATACCTTACGCAGGGGAGGTAACTCATGTCACTCTACAGCAACACAGTACACTGTTACACTGCCACTGGATAGATCCTACATACCTTACTCAGGGAGGTAACTCATGTCATTCTACAGCAACACAGTACACTGTTACACTGCCACTGTATATAACCTACATACCTTATGTAGGGGAGGTAACACCTGTCACTCTACAGCAACACACTACACTGTTACACTGCCACTGTATATAACCTACATACCTTACTCAGGGAGGTAGCTCACGTCATTCTACAGCAACACACTATAGTGTTACACTGCCACTGTATATAACCTACTCACCTTACGTAGGGGAGGTAACTCCTGTCACTCTACAGCAACACACTAAACTGTTACACTGTTACACTGTATATAACCTACATACCTTACTCAGGGAGGTAGCTCACGTCATTCTACAGCAACACACTACAGTGTAACACTGCCATCGTATATAACCTATTTAACTTATGTAGGGGAAGTAACTCCTGCCACTCTACAGCAACACACCACACTGTTACACTGCCACTGTATATAACCTACATACCTTACATAGGGGAGGTAACTGCTGTCACTCTACAGCAACACACTACACTGTTATACTGCCACTGTATATAACCTACATACCTTACTTAGGGGAGGTAACTCATGTCACTCTACAGCAACACACTACACTGTTATACTGCCACTGTATATAATCTACATACCTTACGAAGGGAGGAACCTCCTGTCACTCCACAGCAACACACTACACTGTTACGCAGCCACTGTATATAACCTACATACCTTATGTAGGGGTGGTAACTCCTGTCACTCTACAGCAACACACTACAGTGTTACACTGACACTGTATATAACCTACATACCTTACTCAGGGAGGTAATTCACGTCATTCTACAGCAACACACTACACTATTACACTGCCACTGTATATAACCTACATACCTTATGTAGGGGAGGTTACACCTGTCACTCTACAGCAACACACTACACTGTTACACTGCCACTGTATATAACCTACATACCTTACTCAGGGAGGTAGCTCACGTCATTCTACAGCAACACACTACAGTGTTACACTGCCACTGTATATAACCTACATACCTGACGTAAGGGAGGTAACTCCAGTCACTCTACAGCAACACACTACACTGTTACACTGCCACTGTATATAACCTACATACCTTATGTAGGGGAGGTAACACCTGTCACTCTACAGCAACACACTACACTGTTACACTGCCACTGTATATAACCTGCATACCTTACTCAGGGAGGTAGCTCACGTCATTCTACAGCAACACACTACAGTGTTACACTGCCACTGTATATAACCTACATACCTTATGTAGGGGAGGTAACACCTGTCACTGTACAGCAACACACTACACTGTCACACTGCCACTGTATATAACCTACATACCTTACTCAGGGAGGTAGCTCACGTCATTCTACAGCAACACACTACAGTGTTACACTGCCACTGTATATAACCTACTCACCTTACGTAGTGGAGGTAACTCATGTCATTCTACAGCAACACACTACACTGTTACACTGTCACTGTATATAACCTACATACCTTACGCAGGGGAGGTTACTCCTGTCACTCTTCAGCAACACACTACACTGTTACACTTTCACTGTATATATCCTACATACCTTACGTAGGGAGGAACCTCCTGTCACTCTACAGCAACACAGTACACTGTTATACTGCCACTGTATATAACCTACATACCTTACTTAGGGGAGGTAACTCATGTCACTCTACAGCAACACACTACACTGTTATACTGCCACTGTATATAATCTACATACCTTACGAAGGGAGGAACCTCCTGTCACTCCACAGCAACACACTACACTGTTACGCAGCCACTGTATATAACCTACATACCTTATGTAGGGGTGGTAACTCCTGTCACTCTACAGCAACACACTACAGTGTTACACTGCCACTGTATATAACCTACATACCTTACTCAGGGAGGTAGCTCACGTCATTCTACAGCAACACACTACACTATTACACTGCCACTGTATATAACCTACATACCTTATGTAGGGGAGGTTACACCTGTCACTCTACAGCAACACACTACACTGTTACACTGCCACTGTATATAACCTACATACCTTATGTAGGGGAGGTTACACCTGTCACTCTACAGCAACACACTACACTGTTACACTGCCACTGTATATAACCTACATACCTTACTCAGGGAGGTAGCTCACGTCATTCTACAGCAACACACTACAGTGTTACACTGCCACTGTATATAACCTACATACCTGACGTAAGGGAGGTAACTCCAGTCACTCTACAGCAACACACTACACTGTTACACTGCCACTGTATATAACCTACATACCTTATGTAGGGGAGGTAACACCTGTCACTGTACAGCAACACACTACACTGTCACACTGCCACTGTATATAACCTACATACCTTACTCAGGGAGGTAGCTCACGTCATTCTACAGCAACACACTACAGTGTTACACTGCCACTGTATATAACCTACTCACCTTACGTAGTGGAGGTAACTCATGTCATTCTACAGCAACACACTACACTGTTACACTGTCACTGTATATAACCTACATACCTTACGCAGGGGAGGTTACTCCTGTCACTCTTCAGCAACACACTACACTGTTACACTTTCACTGTATATATCCTACATACCTTACGTAGGGAGGAACCTCCTGTCACTCTACAGCAACACAGTACACTGTTACACTGCCACTGTATATAACCTACATACCTCATGTAGGGGAGGTAC